GGTGAAGATATCTGCCAATTGATCTTCACTTCTTGTGTAGCAAGGTAAGATGATCTTCCTCTCTACAGTTTGTCTCACTTTGTGACAATTCACTTCAGTGTGCTTTGTCCTCTCATGAAACAGTTTGAAGCAATATGGATGACACCTGATTATCACAATGCATTGTAATTGGTGTTGCAGTCTCTACGTCCAAGTCTCTTAACAAGTTTCTGACCCAGATAAGCTCACTAATAAGCTTCCTCATTGCTCTATATTCTGTCTCAGCACTTGAACATGATACCACCTTTTGCTTCTTACTTTTCCAGGTAACCAGATTGCCTCTAATGAAGGTGCAATAACCTGTTGTATACCTCATGTATACTCTATCACATGCCCAATCTTCATCACAATATCTCACAATCTATGTGCTCTTGTTGCATCCCATCCAAACACTTTGACCCGGAGCCTCCCTTAGGTACCTCATAACTCTTTCCACCATATTCCAGTGGTGAAACTTAGGTTCTTTCATATGTTGGCTGACTTGATTCACAGCAAAGCAGATGTTTTGTCTAGTAATGGTGAGATAAATTAGTTTTCCAACCATTCTTCTATAGAGCTTGAAGTCTTCAAATGGTTTATCCTCAAACTCCCCCTCACGCAAGACTTTGTACCCATCTTCAAGCTTTCTTGCCTCATTTAAATGATCAAGTGTGTACTTCCTTTGGGATAAGAAAAGCTTTTTTTTAGAGCGGTATATTTCTATCCCTAGAAATTACTTTAGATCACCAAAATCTTTAATATCAAAAGTAAACTTAAGAAAAACTTTGGTTGAGATGATACATTCTTTGTCACTTCCTGTGATGATAATATCATCTACATAAATAAGAATCACTACAATTCCTTGCTTGCTTGTGAGGGTGAAGAGTGTATGATCAGCTTCTGATTTTACAAACCCTCTTCTATTCAGAGTTGTACTCAGTTTGTGGTACCAAGCCCTTGGAGACTGTTTTAATCCATATATTGCTTTCTTCAATCTTAGGACATTTCTTGGCTTGACCATGACTTCCATACCCGGAGGTGGTCTCATGTAAACTTCATCCTCTAATTCTCCTTGGAGAAACGAATTCTTGACATCCATCTACTATAAATCCCCTTCCATGTTGACTGCCAAGGAGAGTAAAATCCTTATGGTGTGGAGTTTAGCCACTGGAGAAAAGGTATCCAGATATTATTCTCCATAGACCTGAGTGTATAGTCTGGCAACCAGCCCTGTCTTCTTTCTTTCTTTCTGGTTTTCCATTAGCTAAGTACTTGATGGTGAATATTAGGCGACTTTTTACTGCTTTCTTTCCTTTAGGAAGTTTAGTTTCTTACCAAGTATCATTTTTAATCATGGCCCCGATTTCATCTCCAACTGTATCTCTCCACTCATCCAGTTCTATTTCCTCTTCATAGGTCTTTGTAATGTATTCTTGATCTAGATTGGTGATGAACACCACAAGTTCTTGAGGATAACTAGCCAAAGAACATGTTTCTTGGATAGGGTGAGCCATTGCATTGCTGTTAAAATATACTTAGGTGTTCAGCTACTGAGATGGTTTCTTCATCCTTGTACTCCTTCTTAATGGTTGAACTTCTTGTCGCATTCTATCTTGATCATGACCAACAGAATCTTGGACAGCTTCCTCGTGGATAGATTCCTCGTGGACAGCTTCCTTGTGGATAGATTCCTCGTCGATATGTTACAAATTAGGTTGGATGTTTCCCCCTCATGATCAGGATGGACTGTTTCTTCAACTGGTGCAGCTTCGCCAACAACTGGAGGTGTAGGTGAATTGTTCATTACTACACTAATTTGGGGCTCCTAGGCTTTCTAGAATGATCCTCAAGTTGTTTACTCTATCTGAAGGTCCTTGCGAGAGATCTTGAAGGCTTTCCCAACTCTTCTCATCATAATACCCCTTTGATTCCAAAAACAACATCCTTTGATACCAAAACTCTTCTTGATTCAGGTATGTAGCACTTGTACCCTTTCTGTGTGTGTGAATATCCTATGAACATGCCCTTCTCTTGGCTTCCAGCTTGTTTCTCTGTTCTCCTGGTGTCAAGACATAGCACACACACCCAAACACACGTAAGTCATCTAGTGGAGGTTTTATTTTGTTTAATACCTGAAATGGAGAGACATCTTGGAAGACTTTGGTGGGAGTTCTGTTAATCAGATAGCAAGTTGATACAACAACATCCCCCCAGGCCTCTTTGGAACATTGGTATGGAACATCATGCTCCTTGCAACCTCCATAAGATGGCGATTCTTCCTTTCAGCTACTCCACTTTGTTGAGGTGTGTATGGACAACTTGTTTGATAATTCCATGTTTTGATAGGTATTGTTTAAAGGCATGGCTAGTGTAGTCTCCACCATTATCAAACCTGGAAATTATGATCTTGGAATTGAATTGGTTAGTTACATAGTTTTGAAAGTTCATAAAAGCTTCTAAAACTTTATCTTTACTTTGAATCAAAGTGAGCCAAGTATATTTTGATTTCTCATCTATGAATGTCACAAAATATTTATGGTTTTCTCTAGATGCACAAAGTGTTGTCCAAACATCAGAGTGAACTATATCAAAACACTTAAATAGACATAGATTTAAGAAAAACAAATTTACAATGTTTACCAAGAATACAAGCCTTACAAGTTTTATTGTTGAAAGATAGATTAGGTAACATTAATCTTAAGGCACGAGAATGAGGATGACCCTAATCTAGTATACCATAACACATTACTAGGTAAAATAGAAGAAGAATTAGAAGCACAACATGAATCAGAAATATTGGTGTCTTTAAGCAAATAAAGATCTCCTTTGCTCACACCTTTTCCAAACATCTTGCTGGTCTTAATATCCTGAAAGCAAACATCATTAGGATTCAAAATAACATTGCAATTCAGATCACTAGTTTCTCTTTTAACCGATAGTAAATTGGATGTGAAAGTAGGCATGTAAAGAGCTTGAGCTTCCTTATCAAATAGTTTTAGATTTCCTACTCTCTCAATGGGTATTTTATCACCATTTGCAATCATTACACTTCCTAATGCAGGTTTAACATCACCAATCAGTCTAGCATCCCTAATCATATGATGAGACTCTCCTGAATCAATGACTAAAGGCTTAGCAATTTGATATGAATAATGAATAGAGTTTAGAGCATTGACACTAGTGTTACCAGAGTTTTCATTGAAAGCCTTGATAAGAGCTTCAATTTCTAACTTGCGGATGAATGCATCATCATGAGATGGCTGAGACATGGCATGGGAAGTGGATTCACCAGTGTGGATAGTTGAGATCATGGCCATCTTCACCAATGCGCATAGAGCTATGTTCTCATGAGCTTTTGCTTCATGTGCCCTGGCCTGGTTGTATTTGTTGGCTGAGACTAAGGTGAGGATGGAGGATCCAGCAGTTGATTTTGGAGTGACCTAGCCTCTTACAATACTCACAAGTCACTTGCTTGTCTCCTCCACCTCTTGGTTTGAAGTAGGCTTTGCTGGCTGCAGTACTTATCACCTTCTCAGCCATGAACATCTCTCCTTTTCCACCAAGAGGAACCTCTGAACCAGTTCCTTTTGAATTTGAGAACACACACCATCATAGCTTGGAAGCTCTTTAGCTCTCAATATGTGTTTGAGGACATCAAAGAAACTTGGATTAAGTGTGAGAAGCAGTCCAAAGACCTTGTCTTGATCCCACCTTTCCTCAATGATGTTTGGATCAGTGGTGCTTGGCCGAAGCATCTCAAGCTCAGCCCACAACTGGCTATACTTCCCAAGATGCTTAGTGAAGTCCACCTCTTCTTGATATAAGTTTTTGATGGCTCTTTGTACCTCAAAAAGTCTTGTCAGATTTGAAGTGTTGCCATAAACCTTGTGTAAGGTGTCCCACAAGTGCTTTGCATTTTCAAAGTGGGAGTATGCCTCCATAATAGGGGTGTTAAGAAAGCCTTGCAAGATAAATAGCACCAAGAGATCCTCCTGGTCCCATTTGCCTTTATCTACCACTACAATCTCCTTACCATCTTCTCATTGGATAATTTGTCTTGGTGCTTCACCCTTGGTGGTATGCTCCCATAAACCTCTTCTTCCAAGAGATGTCTTGGCAAATCTTGATCAAATGATGTAGCTTATCCCTTTCAAAGTAATTGGAATCTTGACTTGCTTGTATTGCTCCATCTTCTTTTTTTTGTTAAGCACACCCAAATACAAGATTCAGGTTTACAAGAACAGAGGAACAAAGTGAAAGAGTAAGATAAAAAAGTAAGAGGATTTTGAGAAACAAAATCGAACAATTGAAAGAGAAAGGAGAAATAGAAAGAATTGCGGAAGCGATTTGGTGCTCAAGAGCTTGAGAGCTCTCATATCATGTAAGAAATATGAAGAACAAGCTCAAGAACACAAGAGAAAGAAAGTAGATCTGAGAGATAGAAAGAGATTGAATCTAAGAAAGAGAGTAAAGAAGGAGTTATTTCCTTGATTAATTTTGATTACAAAGAAGACTCTTTATAGCCATACAACCAATATAAAATATATGAACAGGTAATGGGAAGATAATATCCTAACATCTATATTTCTAACACTCATATTTTGGATTTTGAATTTTATATTGTAATGAACAGTGCCTGTGAATTCCTACAGCACCAAAGTGCTCAATGCAGGTTTTCAAAGTGCTCAAGGTAGGTTTTCAAAATGCTCACTTTGAGACTGTTTACAATTTTCTTTTTTCTTCATTAACTTGTTTTTTTCGCTACAACACCAAAATATTCGATGTAGATTTTCAAAGTGCTTACTTTGGTGATGTAGGATAACATGAACTCTCCATCTTCATTCTTTATTTATGTTTTCATGTCAATAAGTGATGTATTAGCCTTCCTTATTCATCCTTATACTCAGCTATATATGTAACCTTTACGTGATAATAATACTCAAACAATTCCATAACCTAATAAAAACTTCTTTTAGAACAATGCAAAAGATTAGTATAGATGTCTATCATCTAAAATTATTACAAGAAGGATGTTACAACTTTATATCTTAGAGACCAAGAATCAGCTCAGAAGGTTATGGAACCCAATTATTACAACAAACAGTGGAATGATATTACAACTTTATATCTTGGAGACCGAGAATCTGCTCAACAACGTCTTTATCAATGTTGCTCTTCTTCTGCTCTTTCAAAGCTCTCGTTGAGGGATTTTGAGACATCAAGAGCTATTGTTTCCTCTTCTTCTTCGTGTTCATAATCGATTTCAGCAAAAGGGGATGAGAAATCTAAGCATAAACCTTGAACAACTTGTTCATAAGAAGCAGAGAGATCTTCAGATGTGATCTGATGGTACTCCACCATCTGGTGCAGACACTGGTTCTCTCTAACCAAATTCGCATTCTCGTTGGCTAATCTCGCTTTCTCAGTAAGTAACACCTCTAATTGCAGCCTCACCTATGACCAAAATCAAAACAATTTAAAAAAAAACAGAGCAAAACAGAACAGAAAACAGAGTAGTTCTTGGTGTTTGAACAGTACCAGATCATCTTCTTCAGGTCTAACACTTTTCACAAACCCATCTCTGAGTCTTTTGTTCTCTTCTTCAAGCAGTCCACAACGCTCTTGGATGAAACTCATGTCGGATTTTATGGATTTAAGCTCTCTTGCAAGCGAATTTGCCTTCGAAGCCATTGATATCGCAATCTGCAAGAAACAAACATTGAATCTTTGTATAAAAGAAATAAGAAAAACAGAGAGACTTTCAAAGATTATGACTTTACGTTCTTAGCTCTTTTCATTATCTTCCTCTCTTTTGGTTTCTTCTCATCTTCATCAGACGAATCTTCCTTTAGCTCAGCATCAGACTCGTGTTTCCTCTTCTTCCCTTTACTCTCTTCTTCTTCTTCTTGTTCTGTTTGTTGCTGTTGGATCTGATCAGATTTGAGTTTCGAGTGGAGTATCTCAGACAATGTAGGTGGTTTAGCTAATTCTCTAACTCCCTGAGTTTACAAAAACAAAATGTATCATTAATAATTGAAGAATAAACAATCATATTAGTGTATTTTTCAGTTTACCTGAAGAGCATTGTCGAGATTGCTAGAAAGCTGAGACAGAGTATGAGAAACAGAGTCAAACCCTTTAAGCAAAAGCAACGAATCATTCTTTAGTATCTTTGCTCTCTCTGATTCTCCAACAGTCTTTTGAGCTATCAATGGGGAATTTGAAATGGGTTTGTGGTCTTTGCTCTTTTCGTCGAGAAGAACATCTATCCTGTTACGAAGACTGCTCCAGAGACGCTTGTCAGAGGATGGAGAAGAAGATTCAGAAACCATGATCAAGCTTCCACTTTCCTTTTTGGTATGAATAGGTGATGAAGTTTCTACAGAAGCAGCCATTGATGGAGGTAGAGAGAAAGAGGGTTTAGAGAGAGTGAGGTAACGGCTAGTTTAATGAAGATAGGGGGGAGATCAATCAAAGATAGAGAGAGTTTTAAATTGGATCTTGAAAAGATGGCCCAACGTTCTGATTTCTAACTCATTTGTTTTTTACCTATTTTTATATTTTTAGTAACCAATAAATAGACAAAAGTAGATGAGATCTAAAAGAAGTGGGACTTGGTCGACGACTCGAGATGGATTGGTAGGTCCTACTTTTGAGTCCAACGGCTGTTTCTCTATTCTCATTGCTCCTTCCATTTACTTGGGACTCTAAACTATATCAACAAAAAATTCTATTAATATTTTTATTTTTGGTATAAATAATAATTTATTGATAAATATTTAAAATTGTGAGAAAATTCAGTCAAAGTTGAATCTCTCAAATTGGTGAAGTACACCAATAAAATATTAATATAAATTTAATATTTTGTATTATTTTGTGTTAAAAGATTTTGCCAAATAAATGTCCTAAACCTCTTAAATCACGAATTTAATTTTCATATGTTAATATGTAACAAACAAACCAGAATATATATTCTGGCTATAAGAATATCATTTGACATAACCATGAATCTAACTTTGAAATTCGTTTTGAAAGAAAGAATTTTAATCTATTGGACAACCATAACATTTGCCAAAAAAAAAGTTCACATATTTAGGCAACTTCCTGATTTTACATTAAACAAATATGCCTACATATTAGAGACTTTGGAGCACGTTAAGTTAGCAACTGGTGTTGATACCTTCCATATTCAGCAGCCCAGTATATTTTTTTTTATATCTTGGAATATAAAATACATCATATTTAGGCATTAATTCAGTTCACAATTTTGAGCATTAAACTCTATACACAGAGTCTTGATCACAGTGGAGGTCTCTCCAAAGAGATATAGCCAAATTTTCCTTTGCGAAAATCCGACAGTATTCTAAATGCAGCTTGATGACTATCTCCACCAAACAAGTCAAGACCAAGCGTCTTCACAAATCTGCAAAAGAGAAAGAGAGCATGGAATCAAGATGAAGCCATGATTGGAAATGGGTTGCCAAAAGAAAATGAGATCTTTTTTTTTGTGAACAAGTTTCATTACTTTTTACCGCAGCCTCCATCTAGCTGAATCTTGTACCGGTTGTAAAGCGCCCTTGAGCCTACTTCAGGAATCCTTGCTAGCATCTGTACAAGGATTCCAGCAACATCAGTGAAGTCATAAGCTTTCTCTCCAATGTCATCGCAAATTGCAAGCTTTATAGCAGCTGCTTGATCATCAATACGCATAGGAAGCATTCCTGGTGAATCTAACAGATCAAGACCATCCCCAAGCTTCACCCATCTGTTTCCAGTATGATAAGAGAAATGACCAGTGACAAAGATTAAGACAAGGATCTTGAATATGTTAAAGACAAAGCGTTTATTACTTCATCTCTCTAGTTACACCTGGTCTTGGAGCTGCTGCGCAGATTTTGCGCTTCAATAAACGATTGATCAAAGATGATTTCCCAACATTTGGGTATCCAATGATTCCAGCTCTAACCTGCATAATATGAAGTATACTTAAAAACAATGTTCATAAAATCACTAAGGAGTAGTTAGGAACTCTATGAACTCTATAGAAGATTAGAACCTAGGCAGATTATTTCGGGCCTAGACCTCACCTAGGCATTTAATTATTATATATTAAAATTTCTATTACATATGTTTATTAAGAAATTACTTTGATGAAATTTAAAAAATTAGATATACTAAAAGAACAAAATAGGAGAGAAAAAACTCATCACTTATTTGTAGACAAACTGATAGTGAATATGATATAATTAAATTAGCCATAATTCATTTCGATGCTACTTGATTAACAGATTTAGATAGATTTAAACCGACTTAAGCAACATAAATTGGATTAATAAAAAAATTGTTGGTTATGACTAATTTGTAATACCGCCAAGACGGATTTTAGAACATTGCTTAAAACTAAAACTATATATATACTGCAACAGAAATATATTGACTCACTGGCCTAGGGAGAAGTCCCTTCTCTCGCCGTTTCCCATTAACATCACCTGCTAAGCTTTTTGCTAACCTACCTAGCTTCATAGCTCCCTGTAACCACCACTCAGAGATTACTAAACCAAACAGTTCCAAGAAAGAAAATTAATCCCAAAGTAAAAGATTAAACTTGTAGAAAACCATACCATCCCAAGTTTGCCATTTGTGAAAATGACCTTTATCCCTTGCTTTGCAAAATATCTAGCCCAATCATTTCGATCATCATTAGAGATCATATCTTCTCTGTTCAACACCAGTATCCGTTTCCTATTCCCAAGCCACGCATCCATCTACAAAACATGGTCCCAAAAGGAGTATGTTAAGGACAAAATAAGTAGGTTCCACAAGAGGTTTTGTTATACACACTTAACTTTCACCTACACAACAAATCATCTATATGTCTCTCTCGTCTAATGAAAGGCTTTGGAAGCAAAACCCACTAACCTTTGGATGAGTTGTGGATAAGGGAATCCTAGCATCTCTGACTTCAATCACAACATCCATCAGCTTAAGCTGTTCCCTAAGTTCCTTTTCAGTTTTCATTATGTGTCCTGGATACCACTGTAGTAAACACAATCCAACAAAGTTCATAACTCTACTATAAAAAGAAAAGCAAACTTTCACAATCAATAGATTGATTGATTACTTGAACAGGACGTAACGCTCTAGTCCATAAACGAATATCAGATTCAAGATTCATCCAATCAATCTCTTCTTCATTTGCCTCTAACGTGAAACCCCTTGAATCATTCTTAGTTGTAGCATCCAAAGTCGAATCCTTTCCTCCAATAATCTGCAAAAAGCTGAGAAATTTAGATGACAAGGTGAAGAGGACGAAGTATAATTAGATGAAAGATCTTTTTTTGCCTGAATTGGTGGACGAGAGGAGTTTGCAGTGGGAGGAGAAGCGGAGACTGCGAGTGTGGGTAATCGGAAGGTACGACGGTGAGAGAAGTGGCTTAGGTTCGCCGGAGAAGGAGACGGCGATGGAGCTAACTGTGCAAACATGGCTGACAATACATTACAAATTAACAAAAAGACAAAACTAAACCTCTTATCCCCTTCAGCTATGGCTGTCCGACATCTCATGGGCTTTGTCTAATTTAGGCTTTTTGGTATGTTGAGCTAGGCCCATATTTACAAAAATATATACTGTATAGATATATTTTTTGTAAAACATAAAAAAAATACAGACAATATATATATATAGATATATGATATGTTACAAATAATGATAATTATTTAAATTATGAATATGATATGATTCCAGAAAGAGTATAACTAATATGGTTAGTTGAAAAAATGGTTGCAGGTAAAAAAAAAGGCTTGAGAATATTATGGTGAACAATTGTCATAGTTTAAACTAGGCCTGGGCATTTTACCCGAAAAAACCCGATCCGGGTAGGAACCGGCCCGATCAAATTACCCTATCGGGTCTTATTGTAGAGGATCCGCGGGTCCACCCGGACCGAACCCGAAACCCGATGGGTACCCGAATTAATAGCGCAAATTAAATAAAATGTATTGAGGGGAAGTCGAAGTCGGGTTGTTTCTATAGAGAGTAAGGAGGTCAACCACTAGGAGACAACGGATTGTTGTTGTATCTCGCATAGTTTAATATATATACACATTTTAATATAATAAAAACACAAATTTTTGAATAAAATTTTGAATATTTTCGGATATATAAATATTTTCAGATATTTTTTATATATTTAGGTACTTTTTAGGTTGAAGCCGAACCGAACCCGATCCGGAACCGAACCGATAAATTCTAATTACCCGAATGGGTCCAACTATCTAAGACCCGGCCCGACCCGGATCCGGTACGACCCGAACCGATCCGGAACCGAAAATTTGAAATTACCCTATCGGATCCTAAACTCCTAGACCCGAAAAATCCGGACCCGAAAGGACCTGACCCGAATCCGACCCGACTACCCGAATGCCCATGCCTAGTTTAAACCCTCGACCGGACGGGTATTTATTTTTAATATTAAATGATGTATTTATAATATTTAAACATAAATTTAGATTTAAAATTAACCTTTATATTTATATTAATTTAAATTAAAAAATTAATAAAATATTCTAATATTAATTTTAAATCTTCTAATTAAAATAATATAGAGGTAGGTCATAACTTTTTCCAATTCCAAAATTTTAGCATCCTTTAAAAAAATATTTTTTTAATAAATACATAAAATATATAGATATATTTAGAACTATAACTTCTATTAAATAAATTTCTTAAAGAAAAATAACATATTAGTTATTACTAATAAATATGAAAATATTTAAAATGTTAATACCAAATATATTATGAAATTTATTTTGATTAAGTAAATCTATTATTTAAATTATGAAAAGTTATTATATAGAGAAATTTTCTAGAATAGGCCTAAAAAATTTCTTGTCACAAATATTGACATTAAAAATAAAAATGACCAAAATAGACTTAATGTTTTATTAAAAAATAAGTAAATATACACTTATACCCTTTGGGTTAACTAATCCTAGATTTTTTTTTGTTTAGAGTTGAGGAGTGTGGTTTTGGGGATAGGATTTCAAAATTTTTAAATTAAAAAAAAACTTAAAATTTTCAAGATAAAAAATGCTATTTTGGTAAATTTAGTTTTTGAGGTCTATTTTGTGATAAAAAAATTAAAAAGGTCTATTTGAGAAAATTATCCTATTAAATACTTAAATCTATTATTTAAATTATGAAAAGATAAGCATACCTAAATCTATTATTGGCAAAGCAGTTATGGCGGTTGATCGATAAGCCTCACTGCCTATTTTGGAAGGTTTTTAAAGGACGATACTTTCGGAAAACAGATCCGTTGGATTGACATAGATCTTATTCACCATCTTATGGGTGGAGAAGTACCTGCTTAGCTAGATCTCTGGTTAGAAAAGGGATAATCAAAAGAGTCGGAAATGGGTGATCTATTTGGGTATGGAATGATCCATGGATTCCTGCTTCTCGCCC